TCCAGTATCACAAAAATGCTGCATGTGCCTGGCTCTGGATCTAATCCAACAGTGACAGTTTAGCTTTCCTAGTGGGCTTGATGTGCTGTAGAATTGACAGCATGAGCAAAGCCTGAGTGCAGAGAGAAAGAAGCAAGTGTCTTTATATGGAAAGTTACAATCAACTTACACATGTGATTAATAAACACAAAAACAAAGTGTCTTATAGAGGACTATTAAATAGCACACATAAGCGCTCCATGTGAGAAATGTTTACACGACTATATTAATATGTCACATCATTTCCTATGTGCACTGAAGACAACAAACAGTAACCAGGCAACCGAGGACAAGCAACACTGGGCAAGCTTATTGATGTCTACACAACTGCTCTTCACAGAGCTGTTGGCTCTTTCCTGCCATGCATGGCACCCTGTGCTTTGATTTTTCATTCCTTAAAACTCTGGTTTATATTTACACATGTGGTTGTCTCTTGGGATACAGATTGTGGTTCATTATATCCTCCCTGCCTTCCTGGGTGATTCCCACACAGAAGCCTCATTGGATATAACTGCTATCCACCTAGATATCTGTTAGGCTGCAAAATCACCTCTGAGTCTGCTGACAGGCACAGAAATCCATGCTTGTCTGGCTGTCTTTCCCAGGTGTTTGCTTCTCACATTGAATAACAGCTTCAAAAATTATCCAAAATTTAGGAGCAGGCAAAAGGGATTGCCAAGTGTCCTTTTAGTGTCAAAAGGGATTGTCGGACAAGCCCATATTCCTAAGGATTTTCTGATTTTCTAGGGATGTGTACTTTTGTTTGACCTCCTGCTTACTATTGTTTAAATTATTTCATAGCCCTGTCTGGGGAGAGGTTAACTTGTAGAAAACTGTATCAGTGCAAATTATTTTTGTCTGGGAGTATGCAAATAATTCTCATCCAAATGTCCTCTGAATCATAGAAAAGATGGCCCCAAAGGCAAGGTCACTGTGTGGCCCAGGACAATTAGGCCAGCTTTGATTCTGCATCAAGTCACTTCTGTGTCCTCTGACTCCACAAATCTCTTTGCCTTGAAATTTCATTTGAACTAGTCTTATCATCCTCATTAATTAATGAGTAGAATAAAATTGTTACCACATGATCATTTTATGTTTGTATAGCAACCATTTTTGTCAACTTCTACAAAAGTATGCTTCCTGTCTTTCAGCATTAGTACTTCCTCACCTCATGGGGCCCAGGCCACAGAAGCAGCTTTGATGTCTGCAGAAGTTAAACTGACCCAGAAGAATTTACGATGACTGAACATTAGTATAGTCAGTTCCATAAAGTTCTCACTCTGAATCTATAATGAAACTCAACCCCTAAAAAATTTTTTTAAACAAACAACAAGCTACTTGAGGCAGAGATGAGAAGGATCAATGGTTTGAGGCCAGTTAGGGCAAAAAGTGAGCAAGGCTTCATCTCAACAAACAAGCTGGGCACAGTGCCTCACTGCCTGAATCCCAGCTATGTGGGAGGCACAGATTGAAGGATCGAGGTTCGAAGCCAGACCAGGACAAAAATGCAAGACCCTATCCAAAAAATAACTAAAGCAAAAAAATATATATATATATATCAGTCTTCCTGGCCAGATTTCTAGGGCTTTTGTTGCTAGGGCCATCCCTCATTGCCTCATTTTAGTCCTTGTCACAGGGCTCCTGCAGCAACCAACTCATTCTTCAAGCTTTGCCCCCAGGGTCCCTCAAGATGGCATCAGTCATCTATCTCTCTGCCCCACTCAGTGCTACTATAGGGCTACAACCTAAGAAAGAACTACTTAGGGTCAGCCAATCATGATCTTGGACATCTGTTGGAAAAATAACAAAGAATCAGACAGCAATCACCTTTGCCCTCAAAGAGCTCCCAGTCTCAGCAGAACACAGACTTTCTCCAAGTAACAAGCCGTTTTTAGGTAAATAGGAAAGAAACCCACACCTAGACACAAAATAATGAACCTTCAGAACAACAGTGACAAAGAAATATAACACAGCAGGAGAGAAAGAGATTGTCTTCAAAGGAGCAGGGTCAGGGACAGCTGACATAACAACAACATGACCACAAGACAGAAATGTTATCTTGTAAGAAAGCTGGGCGTCATGGTATATGTCTGTAGTCCCAGCACTGGGGATACTGACTGTGAGTTCAAGGCCAGACTGGGCTCCACAACAAGACCTTGTCTCAGCAACAAGAAAAAAGTGGTGGGAAAAAGTAAGCCGCTTGAAGTTCCAGCTATCTGGGAGTGAGGTAGAAGGGTGCGTGAGCCCGGGAGTTTGAGCCCAGCCTGAACAACACAGTGAGACCCTGTAACAAAACAAAACAAACAAACCAAGGCTCTACTATTGCAGGGGCCAGGTAGTATGGCACTTGCCGAGCATGTGGGAGGTCCTGAGGGTTTTGTTGTTGTTGTGTGAGGAAATGAGGAAAAAAAGGGAGAAACATATCGTGCTCCCCATGCTAGAAATGGGAGTAGAGACTTGAGGTCCTGGGTTTGATCCCCAGCACCACAGGGGTGGAGGCAGGAAGGAGGACAAAATAAGATTATTTTCAGACAAATAAAATAGTCTCCTGCCAGCAAACCATCTCTACTGACAAATCTAAAGTATATACTTCAGTTGGCAAGAAAGTGATCCCAGATGGATAGATACAAGAAGCTACAAAGGACAAAAAGGATAGTAAATAGTTGCTAGTGTAAAATATTGACTAAAAAATCATGATAATGTAATATTTAAGAATAAGCTAATATTAAAATATATGACAGGTCCCATGTTCTGAGGAGATAAAACAAAAACAAAATAATGGAAGCACCCCAGACCCAAATGGAGTGTTTAACTTTCAAACTAGCAGGAAAGAAAATAACCCACTCAAAGGAAAGCAAAAATGAAGAGGAAGTTACGGATGGAGTAATCAAGGGCAACAGATTTTTATGAAAGCAATTTTATTCAAGACAAGGGAACTTAATGCCTTAGTTATCTTGGTCAATTTGGGCTGCTCTAACAAAAATAGCACAGATTAGGGGACATAACAGAAATTATAGCGTCAGTGGCTATAATCCAAGCTACTTGGGAGGCTGAGATCAGGAAGATCAGCCCGGGCACATAGTTTGTGAGACCCTACCTCCGAAATAACCAGAGCAAAATGGACTGGAGGTAACATACCTGCTTCTTTCTTCTCTCCACTAGTCTCCCTCTGCCTCTCTCTTTAGGTGGAGAAGGGGCAGATTAAAAATCAAACCACTGAGATAAAGAGTTTTCAAGGCTTTAAGTTTGTGTTGTGTATGTATTTTTGTGGTGCCGGGGATCATACTGCCCAATTCAGTGAACCAATATTCCCCATGTGACCAATGCATAATGTTACAAAATCATGCATGGGGGGAAATCCATTCAAATACAAAATAGTCCTGTTGGTTGTAATTTAAGAAAAAGTTCACGGATGTCATTTCAAACTCGACATTTGTGACAAACGCTTCAACACTATCACTTAGAGCTAGGGATGCAGCTCAGTGGTAGAGCACTTTCCTAGTATGCGCTAGGTCCTGGGTTCAATCCAGTACCACATACAAAAAAACAAAACAAAACAAAAACCCCTACAATTTACTGAGTTCTATGGAGCAGCAAAGAAAATATCTGGATTATCTGAATTAATTACTAAAATGGTCCTTGGGCTCAGTGGTAGAACACTTTCCTGGCATGCTCAAGGTCCTGGGTTTGATTCCCAGCACCACCCTAAACAAACAAACAAACAAAGAAATCAAATCCTCCTCCACTTTAGCATATGCTGCTCATCAGTTCTTCTGGGGTTTATCTGGGGTGTTGTTGTGGAAGATATCTTTAGATCGGATCCGATGACCTCTGTTATGAAGTAAGACATCTTCATCAGGGCCACGAAATATCCCCCCTTGTACTTTTTGGTCTTTCCTATCTTTAGCTTTAATTGTTACTTCCCGGATTTTAATGAAAGAGACACAGACTCCAACTCTTCACCTATGACTCTTTATTAGGAAGGCTCACCACATCACAATGACAGTGTAAGTATTATTCACTGTAAAACAAGGAATGTGGTGGAACCACAGAAAAGTCCATGTGAATCTGTGCCATCAGAGCCCTCTGATCAAAGGACAATGTCTCAAGCAGAAAGCCACATTGCATTTCTCCCTTGTCACTTCTGAACCTTCACGACCAAGGCTGTCTAACAGGATGCTCAGGAGGAAGGAAATGTCCAACATCTGTGCTATCCAATGCTAGCAACCACCAATGAAGCTACTGCACACTTGGAACTTGGCTAATATGGCTTGGAACCTGGCCTTTTGATGTTAATGTAAAACACTCAAATTTAAACAACTACATGCAGCTAAGGATATCGTAGAGGATGGTGTGTGATGCTCTTGCCCAGTCTCCCACCATTCCAAGCCGTATCTACAATTACTGAATTCCTAGCAAAGCAAACAAGTCCATTTCATTTCTGTAGCACTGGGATTGTTGTTTGCCTTATTTTTTTTTTTTTTTGGTGCTGAGGACTGAAGTTGGGGCCTTGCATATGCTAAGCACGCACTCTACCAGTGAGCAATAGTTATAATAGTTCAGTCCAATAGTTATTTCTAATTCTTCCAAGAACCCTGCAAGAAAGATGTTAGCAGATAAGAAACCACATTTCCTAGAGGCTCATTACCAGGCAGCAGAGCTGGGCTCTGAGAAGCCTCACGTCTCCTGTGATCTCCTTGTTCTCATTACGTGCACTAGGCACTGTCTTATGTTGAGAATTCAAGGGTGAAAAAAGCCCAGACTGCCTCGAAGGCACTAGCCTGAGCCAGGCAGTAGTTACTTTCTGGGTCTACTATGGTTGATTTTATGAATTTGAGGTAGTGTTCGTTTTCATTGCTACTGCGCAGACAGGGTTTATTTCTCCCTCATGCAACAATGATGCATTCTAAGGAGATGGACGAGATTTATAAAAGTTTAAAGTACAGCTAATTTTAACTCACCTCCTTCTGATAGGCCAGTCCAGCTTCATAAAGCTTAATAAAGAGGTACTGAGTCCATTTGTAGTAATCTGGCAAACACGTAGTTATTTCCTGCCAAAAAGAAAGAAGCATTATGCATGGGCCATTGTGAGCATTCCTTTGTGAGATATACATGTCGGCCTTGCAATTCAATTTTGAAACACATCAATTAGACACAAAAAAATCCACCAACTCTACTTTCACAACTCATAAAGTGAGGGATGCAATACTGATTGACAGGAGAGATGTTACTGAAAAGCAAGTTCAATGATGAGAAACTCAACTTCAAGGGTTTTGCACATCCTCTGCCCACCCACCCATGCAACTAACAGGTGAATTACACTGTAGGAAAATGGGTACTTTTTTTTTTTTTTTTTAATATGAAGTGCTCAGATGGAACTCAGAGCCTTGTGCTCTACCACTGAATTACATCTCTAGTCCTTGGTTTTTTGAGACAGGGTCTCACTATGTTGCCAAGTCTGGTCTCAAACTTGAGACCCTCCTGCCTCTGCCTCCTAAGTGTTGGGATTACAGATGGGTGCACCATGCTTGGAGGTATTAATATTTTTTTCAGGAGGGAGGGAGGAGGGAGGGAAGGAGGGAGTGAAGAAAGGGAAGGAAGGGAAGGAGGGAAGGAAGGATTTGCTTGTTTGGTATGATTTCACTTCAAGCTAAATGTTGTGTTCCTGCACATAACTGGGGTCTGGTAACCCCTGTAGACTCATTATAATCCATTTAGTATTCCATTATATGAATCAGGCTGCTGTCTACTTAGGAAAGCTAATTAAATATGTTATCAAATATTAAACTTAGTGAGAAACCAGCTGACTTATTTCCAAAGGTAGACCAAAGGTTCTCAAACTTTACTGTCTGTCCTAAAGACACACTGCCATAGATTTTTTAAAAAACTGTGACCAACCAACTTACAAGATTTGCAGATGATAAAGCCAAGTACACATAACAATCTCTACATGGTCATATGTTCTTTAACTTCAAAAATTAGCAAGCAGAAATGAATGAAGGGCTAGGGATGTAGCTCAGTGGTAGAGTGCTTGCCTAGCATGCACAAGGCCCAGGGCTCAATCCCTAGTACTGGGGACAAAAAAAAAAAAAGAAGAAGAAAGAAACAGATGAAGATAGGGGATGCTTTTAATGGTTCCACTTGTAATAGACAAAAACAGCAGGTGCTGGGGTTTGAACCCAGAGCCTTGGATATGCTAGGCCAGTGCTCTACCACTGAGCTCCATCTCTAACTCTGAAATAGATTTTTTTTAGCAGTACCAGAGTTCGAACTCAGGGCCTCACACTTGCTAGGCAGGCACTCTGCCACTGAGCCACTCCACCAGCCTTGTTTTGTGTTGGGTATTTTCAAGATAGGGTCTCTCGAACTATTTGCCCAGGACAGCCTTGAACCAATATCCTCCTGATCTCTGCTTCCCAAGTAGCTAGGATTACAGGCATGAGCCATGAGCTCCTGGCTTTGTAACAGAGTTTTAATAAAAGGTATACTTCTATCAAAAGTGCAAATGACTCATTTTCCTTAAGATGGGTAAAGCCAGGCAGAGGGCTTCAAACCCAGGACGGAAGAGAATAGCATGAAATGAGCAAGGTGTCAGTTAAGCTCCAGGTAGCTCCAAAGGGCTGTTTTCCTTGGTAAAATGCATTGGTCTTTACATACACTCTTTTGTAAAAATAGCAAAGTAATATTAGATGACTCTTTTTTTTAAGTGAAATGAGTCAACTCTGACCCCCACTTCACCTCCTCACTGGGAGACACATGGTAAATAACCAGCCAGGTTAATGGCTCTACCTACCAGCCTGGCTCCAAGCAAGGCCAGAACTATAGTTTCTGAGCCATGAACAAAACACAGCCATAACAGCTCCCAGGGGCTCTGTGGCCATGCAGTGTGCAAGGTGTTGACCACAAAGAACTTTACCAACTTCAGAACCAGACTAGCACAGTACGCATACAGGCTGGCTCCCCAAACCTCCAAATCCCTGGGATAGGCGATGAGAGGGAGAGATGGGCGGTTATGGCAAAATATTCCCAAACCTTGTTATTGTGAAACACGGATTTTTTATTTTTGTCGGTATTGGGGCTTGAACTCAGGGCCTCATACTTGCTAGGCTTGCTAGGCAGGTGCTCTACCACTTGAGCCACTCTACCAGTGACCTTGTTATTGTGGCTATATCTTTTTGAAAAATCCTTATGCATTAGAGGTTTAAAGAAATATGTGAAGCAAATATGAGAAAATACTGACAACTATCAAATTTGGGGGATAAAGGTTTCCTATTCTCTTTTTATTTTCTGTATATGAGTTGCTCACAATGCTTGTAATGAATATATAAGGAATTTACACATACTTTCTAAGCTCTAAACCTGCTTCCATAAGTCAAGAGTAAAAGCCACACTGTAACAGAACAGCATTGTCTTTATCTAGGCTTACCTAAAGTAGAAAGGGGATAGACAAGTCAGGAAAGAAGTCTTTGTTCACACAGCATTAGCCTCCTTTCACAGACATGCCATGAAGAGTGCATTCACCTGGAGGAGAGGGAGGGCGGGGACTCAGGCCCCTTTCACTCTGGATTCCATCTGGGTCTGACCTGTCTTATTTACATTGTGTTTCTGCATGCACTGATTGAAGGAAAAGCAGCACTTGCTGCTAAGCAAGTCTGGCTTGAGCCCTGAGGTCATGTTCAAGTGTGTGACCTCCTGCCCAGAGAAGCTGGGGCCCCCAGAGGGCGCTGTGCTCCCGCCCATCTCCTTTCATCTGCCTGCACATGGCTGGGCTTTGGCTGGACTCACACATGGCCAGTGTCACAAGAACCCTGAACAGGCACCACTCAGAAACACATTTCCTAAGAGTCATGGAACACTTCTGGAGCCCGCCCTGATTTTCTGATTAAAACAAAACAAAACAGAAAGAGCTATTTCTAATGGTCCAGTTCCATGGACATGGGTCTACTAGGGTCTAGCACCCAAAAAGATGTTAACAGACCTTTCTTCCTCTCTCTAAGCAGGGTGCTCAGGTGGAAAGGTCTGGCTCCCCAGGGAACATCTGGCATTGACTGGAAACTGTTTCTTTGCCACAGCTGTGTGTGTGTACAGGATACTGGATTGTAGTAGGTACAAGCTAGGCACGCTGTTAAACAAACAAACAAACAACTATCATGTATAAGACAGCCCCAGGGGGGAAAAAAGATTTAGTCCTCAATGATAATAGTGCCAACATGGAGAAATCTTGATTCAGTCCCAGCCTGAAGCCACAGGAAGATTAAAGATGAATTAGCCAGGATGGGCACGCCATAAAAAGTAATAAACTGGATAAAATGTCAACAGGCAAAAAGCAACACGAGTCAATTAACTTAACTTAGTTTCCCTTCCTTACCAGATGCTGTCCTATCTCTGCTGCAGCACACAACCCCGAATCCTCCACCAACTTAGAGACCAAGCAGGAGACAGATCAGAGCTGGAGTTGCCCGCAAAGAAAATTCTGAAGCTCTACTAAGCATGTATAACGTGGTTTTCTGGGAATGAGCAATTTATTTTGTCACCTAAATTTTAAATCATTTAATATGTCTCCATGTAGTAGTTAACTTGGAAAAATCTCATGTAATAAGTTCATATAATATGCAGCAGATCACATCTATAATCTCAGTCACTCAGGAAGCAGAGATCAGGAGGATCAAATTTTAACCAATAAAAGCTGGGTGTGGTGATGTACACCTGTAATCCCAGCTAGGCAGGAGACATAGGTGGGGGATCTCAGTAGGATGCTGTCCCCTGGGCAAAAAAAAGCAAGACCCTATCCAAAAACTGACTAAAGTAAAATAAAAAGGGTTGGGAAGTTACAGTCCCCGAGTTCAAACTCTAGTACCACATACATACATACATACATACATAAATCACATAAAACATTTTTCTATCTGAAGTTAGAGAGGCATACAGCTTTTCTCGATAAGACAGCAGTTTATCTCTTCCATGAAACAGTTGTTGAACAAACAGATGTTATAGATCACTCATTAGACTCTGGCTCACACCCAGATATCCAGATCCAATTGTGCCTGCAACTCCCAGTATATGGGTGGGGCTCCCTGCTGCCCACAAGCTGTGGGCCAGCACAGGCCTGGGAAGACTTGTTTGTGAGACCACCAGAAAGGCAAACAGACTGTTCACTGTGTTTTAAAATTTCTTTCCATTCCTGTTCCCTTTTCTCTGCTTTCAAGTAATCCTGCGCCTACACTAATGCACCGTTGTTTTTAATACAGCCAGGTAATCCAAACATATAGCTCTGAAAGCAACTGCAATTAGGTCTCACTCCACATAGATCTCTATCAAGGTGTCAGCTTTTATATCCTCCCGAACTTAGAAAGCACTATCTAGCTGCCAAGAGACCAAATTTATCTTCTGGGATCTCGACTAAAATGATTCCTCCACATGGTAATTTTTTGTTCCACAGTACCTGACTTTCACATTAAAATTGTTTTGCACATTTATAGGCAAAACCCAGAGCCTAAGGCAGAAGGTGAGTGTCTCAAAAGACAAAGGGGACTCAAAGCATCCTCTTTGGGATCTGCCACCTCCACCTTAATGACCCTGCATAATTAACAACTAAGCCAGCCTGGCCAGTGGCTCTTGTGGCCCAGTGACTTGGCAATGTGCAAGTCCAGAAAGGCTGAGACACAAAGGCCTAACCTATGTCCCTGATACGGAATAACATGTGGTCTGTGAGGAAAAATCATGGCAGTTAGCCTGGGGTCTCCTCAGGCTGCCACTCTTTGCTCCAAGAGAGTCTGGGACAGTGTGATCTCACAGAAAGCCATCCAAGTTAGAGCCACATGACACAGGTCCAAGTCTTGTGTCATCACTTGCTCTCTAGCCATGACACATGCTCCCATGTACAAAACGGGAATGATACAACCCATCTTAATGCGTGGTGCTGGGGACCAAATGCAACAATGTGGGTGATGCACAGACTGGGCACACAGAAGGAATGAAGGAGTACCACTCCCCTTGGCACAGTTCAGGGTATGCATGGCAGGGGGAAGCTGCCCCAGTACCACACACTCAG